ATATCTATGCGTGTGTGTGCGCGTGTATAACGAAAGTTAAAAAATGCTTGTGTTGTTTCTCGATAAACTTTTGGAGTTAGTAAAGAAGTACAATAACGATGATTGGCATTGTAGCTCATGTGTCGGCATGGCTTTCACTATTGGTAGAGTCATATCACATGATTACAACATCGTTGGCTCTGAAATAAACCTAGTTGCCATTATCGAGTGTTGCACAGCTTGTGAGACTTCCAATATCATTGAAAAGTGTTACTAAAGTGGGGAACTGGGAACTAGCTAAAAACCAAAGTGTTCATCATTTTTTCTTTTCACAAGCTAATCAAAGAAATGTGTGAAGTTTTCACGCTTGTTTTAGTCCGACAAAAAACATTTTAAGGGTACTTTGAAATTGGATATCATTAAACACGTTAGTGTTTAGTACAAGCTAAAGAAATCATAATTCTTGTGTAAACGATGTTATCCTTAGAATACATTAACATTCAGTTAGGAGAAAAAAAAACGTCATAAAACAAGTAATAAAAACATTTTGTAAATGTCAAATGATGTAGGGATGATAGCGCCATAAAGAATGCAATATAGGGATAATACAACTATACATTCTTGTATGTCTTTTTCCTTACTGTAGGTTCTCCAACATTAAGTACCAAGAAGTCAAGATTATGACCAGTGATGGTTGATAATCTGTTGTAGTCAGTTGTATGGTATAATATTAATATCTGAGGCCATTCTACAAGTGCAATGAAGAAACTGACAAAACCGATATGATATTTAATAATATATATATTACCATTGAATTATAAAAATAAAACATATATTCACTTACGAACCTACTTCAATGAAACTATTTAAAAAAAAGAGGGAAAAACAAGTTAATAAAAAAAAAAAAATAACAAAAATTACGTATGATGTAGGGATGCCAATGCCAAAAAGTACAGAAACAAGGTAGGGATGAATACACAAGACCATACAAAAATTACTACATAACTAGCCAAATCTTTCCAAAAATATCTTGTCTACAACCAAGTGTTGAATTCCTGACAGTTGCATGAATTCAGATTTCAATAAATGCATTTAAACTGAATAATGCTATACAGTCTTACAGTGGCTAATAACCATAACCTTGTAAGATTGATTTTTATATGGTTTTGTGTATTCATTGCTACCTTGTTTCTGTACATTTTGGTATTGCCATCCCTACATCATAGTTAATTTTTGCACATTTTTTGTATTACTTGTACATATTCAATTTGATTGAGATCAGTTGATTGATTTGGCCAACTGGAGTCGGTATTATGCTTTTTGAACCAGTTTTGGGGAATGCAAGCACGGTGGTTTGTACTACCGTCTTGGAGAAGCTCGTGCCCATCATTATGGAAGTGTAACCTTTTGAGGTGTGGTATGCATTGCTTATTCAGTGTTTCCCATGTTTCTTAGTTTATTTAGGTAAGCATTTGATGTTTATAAAGAATTTTAAATTGTTTTCGCCTATACATGTTTGTAATCGTGTGCATAGGTTTAACACTAGGAGAACATTTCGCTCTAGTTACTTACTGTTCAGGGTAATTTCACTTTGATGTCACACGCACTTTTTAGTGGGAAAGATTTCTGTAAAGTAGAACACGCTATACAAAGGGAAACACGGATGTTTTCCATTAGGGGTAATGTAATACTTTGACGATGTGTCCTCCTTGTTTCGTATTGTAATAACCGACAGTTGCATGGCTAGTGCATGCACTGTGGGAGAGATGACGCTATTGTGTTTGTAGGTGATGGTTAGCTCTCTCAGGCTTAGGAGAACGTTGACAACATTTATCCAGTTCTCTAATTGGCAAAGATCTCTCTGCAATCACTAGAGAGAGGAAGCGAGAAATGTTGTCTGTAATGCACTTGTCCTTGAGTGTTATATAAATGAATAAAGATTACTTTCACTTTGTTTCAAACCGTGTTTAGTTTCTTTTCTTACTTTTTTTTTAACTCTGTTAAGTCGGAATTGAAAGTTTTCCGTAATGTATATTCTTTTGTTCCTTTAGCTACTTCGGTTATTTTTATTATCTCTAAAGTTATCAGTGCACCTCAGAATACCATAGAAGTTGATGCGATCAGCAACGACATTCAGGAAAATGTTGGATGTTATTAGTCCTTTTAAAAGGAGTCAACCTCTACCAGTAAAAAGTTTCCCACACCATTAAACTACCTCCAAAGTTCGGTAATGTTGAAACAACATAGGCAAGGTCGAATGTATCATGTTATTTTTAACCTATCGTCTCTAAAGGAAAAACCGAAACGTTGCTCGTCAGACCATATTACACGAGGAAATTCCGAAAGAAAAGAGGGAGTCGTGGAAATAAATTATGTAGTTCCTCAGAATACTCTCTAACGAAATGTCAACAATGGACGTCTTAGAAATCTTAAACATGACCGTGGTACGAGGGTATCAGTAGCGTAGTGTGTTTAATTTGAACGTTCAATGTAAACGATGATTGCCTAAGAAGAAACTCATTGATTTTTTTCTTAGTTAAACATAATTAATCAAATATAGATTAAATTGTCACAGTAGAGCGAAAACCATATTGAGTTAACAAAATACCTTCTGTAGTATTATGGTTGTTTAAGTAAAGTTATTTAAACAAACTCTTTTTAGATGTAAAGAAATTAGTTAATATGCTACAAATAAACTGTTTTGTATTCAACACCAATAATCATATTTCATGTCGATCTACTTTTCCCCCCATACTTACCCATGTTTTGAAAATGAGTAAAATTAAGTAGTGACAGAATTGCTTATAGGCTTATATATTTATTTACATATTTGTACGTATGCCCACTTATCCATTTATTTGTGTCTAAAAGAAACACAATGATAGTCGTTATTTGAAAAACTATAGAAATTACTTTCTCGTGTCCTTCACAGTACAAGAATAATTATTGCTGGGTGATTATATATTTAAGTAACTGTAAGTATATGTTTTTCAAAGCAACTGAAACCCATAAACAATACATTAAATTACATATTCGTTTTTATTTATTTCTTAAGGTGTTTGAAGATGCACTGGATAAAGATTCGTTTCCGTAAGTACTTTTCTCAATAATATTTGTGTACTAAGGCCATATTGATAGTTGATATACATTTTTATGCATTAACCGATAATGTTATATATATATATATATATATATATATATATTCTTACTTGTTGTTACTAGTACGTAGTATTGTTTACGTTAAACGGGTGGGGTCG